TTTCACACAGATGACCAATAGAAAAAAATAATGAGATTATGACATTTTATATCCAACATGTCAAAGGTCAACTTCACTGTGACATTACTATGTTCTGCAAAAACACTTTCCTGGCCATAACTTAGGAACAGTATGGGAGACATTTGCTCAGACAGGTGAAACTAATGTTGGGTGTATATCTTGAAACAATGCCAATTGTATAGGTCTTCCCTGCTGCTGGGTTGAAGATGTTTGTGAAGCACCCATGTTTTAGAATATGAAGCTTCTTTGCAGCAACTTCCATATTTGAAGCATTGTCTACTGTCATGGTCACATGTGAGACTGAACAGGCATGGATGTAACTGCAACTCAGCTGGTTCACAGATGCATACAACTGTTCTTCTTTTATTCAGCCATAAAGCATGACGCCCAATTTGTCTTTTCATTATCGCTTGAGCCCAGCCGAGCCATGCTGAGCAGCACCAGAGATAGACCATATCTGGAGTAGGACCTAAGGTGCACCTAACCGCCTCCAAGTGGGAGGCAGTGATGTTTCGCTGACCACAGCCAACCCCTGATGACCCCCTTCTCCCGCTATAACAAGCCTTTATGTTGCAACTCTCAACTCACCTCTGCCTGCAGGACACCAGAGAGAAAGGTGTTTTTAAAAGTCTCTGTGTATTTAGCTCTCAGTGCTTTGTACCTTCCAACTGAATCTCTGTGGTTTAGAGTTTAGTTTCTCTTTTGTGTCATGTATTAACTTTAGATATCTGCTTTATCTTATGTTTTTCATGTTCACGTTTAGCCTCATAGGAGTTGTATTAAGTTACTGCTAATGAAAACCCAACATTTCCTTATTTTGCTTCTTCGTGATGTAGGTTTTTACATAAAATAATAACTTATTGCATTCCATACCCTTCTCTATTCAACCCTACACTGTCAAAAGGTAGAAATGCCCAAAAAAAGCAAATGTTTTGCTAAATGATAAAATGTCAATATTGTGAGCTATCAATGAAAGACTGTAATTCAGAGACAAATGTTCCTAAGTCCAAGAAGGGCTGATATCCACCTACACAATAAATTCTGACTCTGCAGGTCTATTACATGAAACCACGAAAGGAATACTTTTAATGTCTTACTGACGTGTTTGCAATTTTCTGCTAAACTCATTTTGTTGTTAGCATTCAGCTGGGTTTTCATTTAATTTGCTATCACCCTGCAGCTTCACAGTTTTGACTCTTTGAGGGCGAGGTTGCTTCCTGCTGCCTCCCGAGCTAAGATCTCCAGCTGGATATCTGCCCACGGCCCCGCAGAGCTCAACACTGAAAACCCTGAGCAGTTCCTCTTACCGGGGAGGAGTCACTCCCTGCCTGTTTTCTCAACCACCATTGACAAAACAACAGGGACTCCTGCCCAGAAACTTGGACTAATTCTAGACAAGCAGCTGTTATGTGAGGCTGATGCTGCAGCCAAATCCTCATCCTGCAGGTATGCTCTCCAGAAGCTGTCAAATCAGACACTTTCTCACTGTGAACGCTGACCAGCTCGAGCTTTAAGGTTGTGCTTGTGCTATTTCATTTTGTTGAAATTGCCAGCACTTTTTTCCCCCTGTGCATCACAATTGATGGGGAGCAGCTTGAAGATGGACAGGTTCAAACTGCTTTGAAAACCACACTGCCCTTTGAAGAGATCACATGGACAGGCCCTGAAGAGGCAGCTCATAGTATGGCATCTGACAGTTTAGAACAACAACCTGAAAGAAAAGAGGAAGCAGTGGTGCAAAAGTGCTTTCTTTTGTGGAGTTAAATGGACTGAGAGTTGTACATAAGTGCTGTTTGCTGAGTGAGAGGGATTGAAACAAAAGCAGCTTTTCATCATCAGCACAAAATGCAGTTGAAGCAGCGCTTTTACTACAATAAAAGCAGAATGGTGTGAATTTGTGCCCTTAGACATCTCCCATCTGGTCCACTTAATTCCCCTCCCTTTTTGACTCATAAGCTTCACACTCCACAGCTCATCCATGGTGCTGGTGTTGAATTCCAAACCCTGGTATTTGCATACGAGGCTCAAAATGATCTTTTTGACCTTTTTAAATAAGTGCATGTTAGAAGAAGTAATTGGAGAGAGAACCTCATTGCAGTCTGAGTTTTCTTAAGCCAGAGTCCAGTGGCCATTACAGCAGCTTGAAAAGGGCAGTCCAACACTTTAGGAAACACAGTTTAAGAGTTGCACTGGACTGGATTCTTCTTGCCAAAATGCACCCTTGGAGTAATTAGTGTCTCTACTTGCTTTTTAACATACACAGGCATTCCTGGTGTTTCTGGCAATTCATTGTTTCTGGTTGTGAAATGATTTAACTGTAGTTTTGGGTACAGTTGCTTTTTTCATTTTACAAAATAAATTCACCACAGACTCAGTGAATGCAGTGATGTCGTTAGTGACGTCAACAGTGGGGTCCTGGAATGTTCACCAGACTCTGATTGGCTCCATCTCTCTGATCAGTGGAGACATGCGTCTTTATTCATTTACATTTCTTGACCTCAACAAGATGGCCACATGGTGGCTCCTTCCACAGACAGCAACTCTGCTCTGCAGCCATGTCTGAACAGTGTATGGCAGTGACCTGTGGTGCAGAGCGAGCAGGAATGGGACAGCACCTCACATTAGCCCTTTTTACACAGAGACCATGCTTTAGGGCCACTACAAACTCCCTCCTTCATGCTGACATTGCATTTTAACTCAGAACCAAACATCGGCAGCATTATGCTGCTCCAGTGTGTGATGTTAGACAGCTTCCCAGCATCGCAGAAACAAAAGGGGCGCAACAGTCATGACATGTAACACAACAGCATAGGCCTCTAGTGTGACATTTAACAGATACGTTGGCAATGCTTTACACACAATAACAATGGCATAACATGACTAGCTATCCCTGTTATATGGCAGCTGATCTTATCCTCTGCTCACAGGGTAAGGAGCTCCAGGACCCCACTGTTTTCCCAGTTTGCAGACATTTTTAGTCACTGTTCTTCATTGGGTTAGCTGCTGTTTGCTTATAGTTACTTTTTAAATCTCTGGTGATGGGTCTCAGGCATAACATGTTGTTAAAATGTAACACCCATGCCACCAATGATCCCATCCTGGCTGTTCTGTTTATACAGACGTCATTTTGGCACTGTTACTACCTCCGCTCATCGCTCAGAGACAAGACAAATCTAAACCTCCATTCTGTAGTTGCACCTTTTATACAACAGTGAGGTGGCAGAAGGGTGTGAAATTGGCGTATTGAAGAAGCAGTGTAAAAGGGCATTTCTCACTGTTTCATCAGTCATTATTCACCACAAAGTGCATGCCTCCTACCCCTCTCTTTTTCAGTGTCCTCTGTTCTGTGAGATCTGCTTATATAAAAGAGTCACCTGGTTGAATGGCAGTGTCCAGGGTCTAGCTAGACTCACAAGTCAGTCTTTAGATGCTTTGCTTAACTAAAGACTGATGACTTTCTCCCTGATTTTGTGTTTAGATGGGCGGATACAATTTCAGAGTTTAAAAAACTCACTACATTGCAGAACCAATAATAAATCTGCAGGGTGGTCCTTCGGTGGCTCACTGAACTCTTGTGCTCATAAAAACATAGTCCCACTAGAAACACGTGTAGCGATACAAAATGGCTCAGCCGTGCTCGCAGAAAACGCCGTCAAAGTTAGTGGATGTTTGTCGCGTTTGCGGCGACACATTCTCGCCAACTAAAAGAAACAAACATAATCTTTTACAAGGCCATGACTCATCCGTCCGGCCGGACTATAACGTTAGAGGGAATCGCCTTGTTGTTTACAAATACTTCCGGGTAGAAAACCAGCAGAGCTTTTAGCTACATATATAGCCTATATATCACATTTTTCACATCACTGTATCACCGTTTGGACTAATCCGATGTTTGTAAAGTCAATAAACACAATGATTGAACAAACATTACTATTTCTGTGTGCACGTTTAGCTGGGCTAACCGTTAGCTGTTAGCACTGTTAGCCATTAGCGGTGTCTGTAATAGGTAATAACTCATTAAACAGTCCGTGAAAAAAATATCTTTTCCAGCGGATATCTTAGTTACAACATGACTGAGCTAGCAAAGCAGTTTTGTGTTGCTATGTGTGGTATTTATTCAGTTTTGGGAAATCACGATGTCTAGAAGGCATCAGTGGCTGCAGCTGACAGGGACAGCTAACAGCAGCAGCAAAGGTAACAGGACGTCATCTGTTAAAAGCCTCCCGTTGTCGGATACAACATGAAACTACTCCAGTTAGCTCAATAATGTTGTAACTAAGACATCCGCTGGAAAAAATATTTTCTTCACAGATGAGCACACATTTGATAAAACGGAGTTAAATCTCTCAGCATCCATTTTCAAGCTCTCTGTGTGTTTGTTTCCTTGTGGATGAGAAAAGGAGGAGCACACATTTCCAAGAAGGCGTGTCTTTTTCAAAAATGCAAGAGGTGTTGCTTTGTTGCCGGCCGTTTTCGCCGGTGTGTTAAACACACTTTAGAAAGGAGTGTCCCCAAACTATCAGAAGGTGGAGATCTCTGATTGTCTGGTGGCGAGACTAGGGTCTAGCCAAGTTTTGGTGACACAAAGTTCCTGATAGCCCACTGGAGACTGATGCAGCATGGAGGTCATTAATTAGTATATTATCCAACTCTTGCACAATGGCTAGCGGGATGCGAGTTTGGCTGGTGCCAATTCTTTTTCATCTTTTCTTCAGTGTTTACTAATGTTGATATTCTCATCTGACTCGCAGTCGCGTGCATCCCCACTCCAACGCTGACTTCAAAAAGCCCCACCAAAATTGACACTAAAGCATACATTTAGCATAGATGGTCCTGCTGCGCGTGCATGTCAGTGCATGTAAGTCCCTGTGTGCCTGTCCCACTGGCTAGCGAGTCACTGCCACTGTGCACTTGTACAGCAGCTACTGTTAATGATGCCAACCCACCACCATGGGTTGACGCCAAAGTGTAACACCTACCCCACGGTTCCTGCAGGTTGATGGCTCTGTCAGCACTGTTGCAGTCGTTTGCGCTGTCAGCACCATTAGCTGCTAGCCGCTGGCTCAACCACCTCCATGTTGAGAGCCGTGTGGAGACAATCCAGGCTCAGACTCTAAATCATAAAAAGTTAAGTGTTTATTGAGGCAAAGTGCTAAGTTTCAGACCACCTATTTAAACCTTGAAACTCTGCATGGAATACTTATTAAGGAGCACTGGCGCGACAAACTATAAGTGTCTGTGAGATGACCCTATTATAAATGACACATTTTGTCTGAGCCACAGTGTGTAGTTTTGGAGTGTCTGCATATTGACTCACCCACTTGGAAAAACTGGCTTAAATGAGAGCTACATTTTTTAGTCCTGTCTGCTGGGAACTATTTTCCATCTTTCAGTGTCACGGTGGGGCTTGATAACAAGGTGTCTTAACAGTAGCAGATAATTGGCTACGACTTGTGTTGAAGTGCTTAATGTGTAGTTTATGTTTAGACAACCCAATCAGTTTGTCGGTGTATGTGCATTTGTGTGCATTTGTGCACGTATACAGCCTGGACATGCCTTTTACTGCAAACAATGAATAGTTTGTGTGTGTGTGTGTGTGTGTGTGTGTGTGTGGAGAGATGGTGTCAGTCTCAAGGTCAGCCAGTCACATCATCTAAGCATCCAAGGAGGTAAACACTGGGCGATACTGAAAATTTACTATCATATTAACCAAGCGTGTGTGTGTGTGTGTGTGTGTGTGTGTGTGTGTGGGGGAGCGAGTTTGTGGGTAATTGTGTCGGAGAGAGGGAGGGAGAAAGATGGAGGGAGATGGTCTGACAAAGGGGTGTGTAAAAAAAAACAACTAATATTGTATTAATAAACTTTCAAATGGGAGTCACACAGAGACCTCCAGATGACAAAACAACTCTAAATAAAAACCAGCAAGATAAATGGCTGACATTCATTAAATCAGGGTCACTAAAGAGGGTCATGAATAAAACACACACTGACTCCGGCAGAATACAGTACACTGACTAGAAATAAATCAGGTGAATTTAGTCAGCCAATGTGTTGCTTTGTACGATGCATTCAGTTTATGTTCTCCATGCAGTAAAAGTTATCAATCTCCACAAGGATTTTTACATAATACAGCAGAATAAAAGGTAGAATTGCTTAGATGTGCTGCCATCTAGTGGTTCAAATTTTTACTCTGCTGCTACTTTTGGCTCCACCCATATTAAGCATTAAGTCTAGCACTTTGAGCTGCCTGTCTCCTAAGACAGGCAGCTCAAAGTGCTTTGTATTGAGAGCTTAAACCTAGTGATGGCGGAATGAAGCCTCATGAAGCATTTTCTTTATTTTCTGAGCCCACTAGATGGTGCACTTGGTTTAAAGAGAGAGGCTAAAAGAATTGAAATCTGGTGTGTTTTAAACCCTTTGTTGAACAAAAAGCGCCATCTAGTGGGCTCAGAAAATAAAGAAAATTATTCATGAGGCTTTATTTGGCCATCACTACTTAAACCTAAGCATGTGGATATTCTCATTTATCCATATCATTTATCCTTAGGTTTAATTCTGGCAACAAATAAATCGTAGGCAACTGGACTTTGATTTTGTCTAGAAGACGTTTCGCCTCTTATCCAAGCGGCTTCATCAGTTCTCAACGCATCAGTCTGACTAGTCCTCACTAATCTGAAAAAAAAAAATCAGACTAGTGAGGACTAGTCAGACTGATGCGTTGAGAACTGATGAAGCCGCTTGGATAAGAGGCGAAACGTCTTCTAGACAAAATCAAAGTCCAGTTGCCTACGATTTATTTGTTGCCAGAATTAAACCAAAGCAGCATTTTTGGCAAAATTGTAATATAAAGATGGGAATTAGCGAAGTGGATTGTTCTAGGGGGAGGTTTTTGTGCATATTTTCATACTTTTTATTCACAAACAGGAAAGGATTTAGACATTTCTAAATGCTGTTAGTAGTCCGTTTGTGACGGACTACTACTACTTGTACTTCCAAAAGTGTGACTTTGGTGAGTCTGAATTAATCATTTCATTAAATTCACACAAAAAAACATGAACAAACTGACTGAGGCAGCAGTCACCATGTTCTCACTCCACATGTTGCGGGACACTGTGACAATTTATGCTTGTTCCTTGCATTGTTATTTCTCAAAATACACCTCTGTTCCAATTTCTACTCTTTAAACGCATATGGTGTTTTTCCAAAATATTCTCACATTATCAGCAAAACACCTTGGGCTCTAGTTTCCCGGCGCAGCGCAAGGTGGCGAACACTGCGCAGAGCTAGTTTCGAGCAGTGCAACCCGAGGCACGCTCAATTTGGTAGTTTGGCAGACCGAGGTGCGCTGAGATGGGTGTGGCGGCGCAGCAGGGGGAGGTGTCGACAGATCCAGCTTGGCGCAGTGACAGTTTCGTGCCAAAAGGCTTCGCCGAAGGTGTGCTAAAAGCTCACCAACTGAAACCAGGTCTACTGTCAGCGCAGATGGAGTGCAGCCGGTGTAAGCCGAAGTTTGGCTGACCGGCGGACAGTGCGCACACGTCACCAAAACCTCACAGGCAGGTTTCCAGAATATCAGGCACATTAACAATGCAATAAATACCCCAAAAAACACTATTCAATGCAGCTATCTGCAATCAGCACATAAATGTATCTCTATATCGACTGCCCCGTCACATCTGACGTCAGATCAAAGGGGATTGGCACCGTTTGGCACGTTTGGCACGTGTAATGGAAACCTAACCTGATTTGATTAACACAGCTGCAAACTAATGAGTTCACATCCCTCTCAGCCAACCACAAACAGCCACAGCATCAGATAGGGAGTATATATTCAGCATCTGTCATCTTAGAAAAGTCAAAAGAAAAGAAACAGAGTGAGACTGTGAGAGAGAAAGAGAGAGCGCGCGCGAGAGAAACACAACATTGATTTACAGTTGTGGTGACCTCCTCCCAGGCTACCTTTGCATCATCAGCCCGTGGAGGTCTGCTCGCAGTTCCGTATATTCGGACACTGCGAGCTTGGACCTCCCGGACCAAAACATCAGTTTCCTCCTGGGAGAAGTTTGGCCGTCTGATGCTGCTGCTCTCTTCTGCCATGGCGAATTGAGTAAACTCTCATTACGCCTTCGCGCGGCGCATTTAAGGGCGAGGAGAGGGGCTCATTTGATTGGTGTGATGTGTGTAAAACCCACTCCACGCCTTCTCTCCTCCCTCTTTCTGACTTGCACAGGTAGGAAGGACGGAGGTGGGATAGAGTTGGCAAAAGCGAAGCGCAGGTGCGCTGCGCCCCCGCCTTGCCTGGTCTGCGAAACTAGAGCCCCTTGTGTCCAAATTTTTATTTCTTTGTGCAACAGAAGCTCCTGATTAGGTTTATTAAAACATCATGATTTGGTTCTACATTCACATGGAAAACGAACACCAAGCTCCTGGGTGAAAGTCCACTGTTTGCTGGGCCCATCCACTACTCCTCCCACCTGCCTGACAGGCACTTTCCAGCCACTTAAACTATGCTGTTATCTGGCGGGGTTTCATAGTGACACCACCCGATAACATTTCATACCGCTGCAAAAAGATTTTTTTTTTAACAGTGTCTGACACCAAAATCACTGACCAAACGCCAGTGTTTGATGACTTTGGAAGACAACAGGTTGCAGCAGTAGACTGGCAGCTCCCATGTTTGGCAAGGTCGCATAACTACTTTTGTCAGTGGAGTCTGGCCTTGAAGAGAGTATAGAAAAGTTTCACTATGAGTTCAGTTTTAAATAGTAATATTTTAGCAAAAATGCATGTATTTTTGAAGTTTTTTGATTTGTTTGTAAACAGATGTTTTGATATAGTTTTGCTGTTGTTAAATGCAGATCCCTATGACCACTTTTAATTTATCAAGAATTTTCTCAGTTTTCTTTGTTTACAGTGGAGGTATGCGAGAGAAGCAAAGTTTTCTTCACAAAACATAACAAGTAATTGATAGGCAAATGGTCATTTGGGGCATAAAGTATTCCTTTAAACTTAAAGCTACTCCTCACTATAACTCTAGGCATGGCTTTATTAATGAGATTTCTTTTTAAAAGTAATTTTGCATTGATGGTCCCCAGAGGATGAATCCTACTGAATCCTGTACACACATTCATGTCCCCCACAGGATGAAATGATATAACTTTGGTGATCCCCTGACTTTTTCCATCATCCCATCAAAATTGTAATTTGTCCAATACCTCATGAACAAATACCTGCAAAACTAATGATATTCCCATCAGCCTTAACTGTAGGCCTGCTCTGTGTTTAGGACTTGTTAGTTTATTTTAGCATGCTAACACACTAAATCTAAGCTGAATGGTGAATAGAACAAACATTACACCTGCTAACTATAAGCATGTTAGCATTGTCATTGTCAGCATGTTAGCATGCTGACACAAGCATTTAGCTCAAAGCACCACAGAACAACCTCACAGAGCTGCCATCCTGGCTGTAGACTTTAAAGCTGCGCTCACATGGATTCAGGCAAGAGCAGGATGGTAAAATTAGGTGAGGCCAACAGAGAATACCGGCGGCAGCAACAGTAGACAGCACTGCTGTCTGAAGCTAAAATATTTTAACTTTTTGTTGTCCTCTATGACAGAATTTACAACTAGATGTTATGTTGCAAGAAGAACAACAAGAAGAACACATGGGCGATCTGTACAATTATTGGTTGTTACTAAAATAATATCATAAAATAGACGGGAAATCATTTTATTTCATATATTTCATTCCATTCCTTGTAAACACTATGACATCACCATCACAACATACATCTCATGCATGTTTTGTTTTACCATCCTGCCATTCTGTCAGACTGTTTGGTTGTATTTCCAATGCTATCCAAAATCTGTTTTCCCCTGCCATCTACCATCTGCCTGAATCCACATGATCATAGCATGAGTCATGTTATATTAACCATGGGTCAAATAAGCATGTGTAACAGTAAAGGTGTCACTTGTAATAACAAAGCTGCAATAAATTATCATCTTTAGTATTTTTTTAGCTCACTTTTTTGATTCACTGTCAACACTTCCATCAGCCTTATTTCCAGATGCAGCAGGTTACTCTGACAACGTTAGAGCCTAGCTGTTGAACATAGTGGTGCATTCAGTAGCTAAAGAGCCTGATGTTTGACAGTGGGTTGAAGTAATAGACTCACATTTGTCTGGTGGACAGGAACATTTCTGATTGTGAATGTCAATGTTGCCCCGTCTGCTGAACATGTCAGTAGACAACTATTTGCGACCATGTTCGCCATATCAACTTTAATGTGATATGTCAATATTGTGTTTACAGTTTGTTACACTGACCCCAAGCACCCACACATCAATAAATAAAGCTTTAAGATTAATAATGTGTGTATATACAGCTTATCTGATAGAGATGTGTGAAGGAGACGGAAGGGCAATAAAACCTGGTAATAAGACTGCTGTCATTACTGCTCTCCCTCCTCCCTGTGACCTGGTTATACAACTAGAGGTTATTCCTCTCTCCCAACAGTTATTATGTTTCTGTTGAGAGGAGGAAGAAAGGGAGGAAGAAGAGGAGAGCAGCCTGTAAAGGGAAATGAGACATGAGAAACAGAAGGAGGGAAAGGAAGAAGTAGAGAGGTCAAGAGGTTCGGGAAGAAAATATGAAATACTGGAGGAGGGGACTTGAAAAGGTGAAGAGAGGTGGGTAAAGTTAAAATTAAAGAAAAAATTAGGAGGGGGAGAAAAGAAATGACGCACACAGGAAAGGAGGGGATAAAGATGAAATTAAAAAGGCTGGAGAGAAAAGAACGGACTGAATTGAGAGAGACAGAGAGGTATCAGTATGACTCTAGTCATGTGTAACTGCACTGTGCTGCTGGTCAGTGAAGCTGCAGAGAAATGATTGCATTTAAAGCACACACACACACACACACACACACGCACGCACACGCGCACACACACACGCACGCACACGCACACACACACACACACACACACACACACACACGCACACACACACACACACACACACACACAGTGCTATTTAATCAGGTTGCCGCAATACAAGCATCAGAATTATTGTCCAATAGTAAATAAACCCAAACACACACATGTACATACCCAAGCTGGCTTAACCTTCACCCAAAAAGGACACGCACACATTGACACACACATTATATGCAGGGGAAGGGCAGATAGGATTGGTTGATAGCGACCGCAGAGACACGGTCAAAGTAACAGCAGGTTAAAGTCGAGCCATTAAAAACATGGATACAGACAACGCTGTAAAACAGCTTTGTGCTCTGCTGGCATGTTACCTGTAAATCATCCTCATTTTGGCATAGCAGGAGTATCGTCCTTCAGCAGCATGTGCATCTGTACCAGTTCTCTGTCCAGTAGAGTCCAAGTAATGTCACAAAAGTATCCTTATTGCAAAAATAAAAAGGTTTCTAATTTTAAATTCCTCTGTTGAAGTATTTTTGGCAACAGATTTTTGACAGGTTTGTTGCTAGCCAGCTAGCAAGCAAAGGGACACACTGGATTGTGTCTTTAACTTCCTAAAGACATTCTAAAATTAGGACATGCAAGACAGGCACTGTATAACAGAAAACATAAAACATTACAGGTATTAAGGGAAGAAGTTAGATAGGTGCAGAATAAATATGCCTTATTAAGAAAAAAGTTTTAAAACGTCCTTCACACCAACACTGAGGGATGCTTCAGACTGATTTGTAGGCTGAATTGTGAGACGTACTCTTTGTATGTAAAAATGTTCCAGTTGTGAGTATTTTAGTGATTGTATTCCCACAGTGGAACAATGAAAATGATCTCATGTCTTTTCTGTTTTGTTGTTCACCAGGTGTGCCATTGTTAAGAAGCCCGTCTCACATTGGTACGTAGTGCCAAAATGAATCAGAACATCGAGTGCTTTTCCAGCCAAGTGCTGGAACTCTTCCTGCTACATACAAGGAAAACCCCATAATTGTCTGAGTGCGCTTATCTCCAAAGTATCACTTAATCCTCCATCTGTTATAGCAAGGGTGGAGGCTACAGGTTGAAATGATGCCTCATCCAAAAGTGTTACCTTCCTCCTAACCTGAGTGTTACTGTGGAAAGTTGCTTCACAGGAGCACTCAGAACTTTTATTTAAAAGTCCAGTGTGTAGAATTTAGGAGCATCTATTGGCAGTATATACTATTCAGAACTGTTTTTTCAATAGCCTGTAATCACCTGAAATAAGAATCACTGCATTTTGTTACCTTTCATTATTCCCACTGAGTCAACCATGTAGTTTTACAGTCGCCCAGAACAGACAAACTAAACACTGGCTGTGTATAGGGCTATTTTGGGTTTTCATGTTGGCCACCATAGTTCTCCTACACATGTGGCACCAAGAGAAATTCCAGTTTTCAATCAATCAATCAATCAATCAATTTTATTTATAAAGCCCAATATCACAAATCACAATTTGCCTCACAGGGCTTTACAGCATACGACATCCCTCTGTCCTTATGACCCTCGCAGCGGATAAGGAAAAACTCCCCAAAAAAACCCCTTTAACAGGGAAAAAAAACGGTAGAAACCTCAGGAAGAGCAACTGAGGAGGGATCCCTCTTCCAGGACGGACAGACGTGCAATAGATGTCGTACAGAACAGATCAGCATAATAAATTAACAGTAATCCGCATGACACAATGAGACAGAGAGAGAGAGAGAGAGAGAGACAGAGAGAGAGATGCAGGTAATAACAGTAGCTTACAACAACATTATTGAAAGTAATAATATTATAGTTATAGTTCTGGCTACTGTGGTACAATATGTTGAAAGTATGTATTAATATCTGGCAGTATACATGTGTGACAATAGTCATATGTGTATAATAACAGTAGAAGTATGACTAATGACTAATGATGGCAGCAGCAGCAGGAGGCATCTGGCAGGACCACGGCAGCAGCACAACAACACACGTCACGCTGTCCAGGCACCGCTGCGATATGAGTTTTGCAACCTCGCAGCTAGATGCTACTAAATCCTACACACTGGAGAAGTAAAAGTAGCAACAATATAGAAATACTCTGTTACAAGTAATCATCATCCATTCCAAATTTTGCTCACATAAAAGTACAGCAGTATTAGAATTAACATATACTTAAGGTCCAGACACACCAAACCCACTTCAGAGACCTAGCGGCAAGGAAAGCCAGCTGTTGCCTCACCTCACATGACTGTGTCACAGCCAAAAATTTGCACATGAACACACCGCAAAGACTAAAGCCAATGGTCAAATTTGTTCTGCACCTCCGTAAGAGGAAATAACTCTCCACACCAGCAGAAAGAGGTAGTCTGTATTTGTCATTCAAAAAGGGACACCAGAAAGCTAGTCAGCTAGTTAGCCAGTTAGCCAGTTAGCACATTAGCAACACAATCCAATGTTGAAAGAACAAAGCATATTTACAGTGCGCAGGTGAACAATAACACAAACTATCACGAAACCTTGTTGCTAAAGAGCCCAATGGGTGAAGAAAAATAATCTTACCTGATGTAACAAGCTCGTGTTGGTCTCACTTTCTCTTGACTTTAGCTCTTTGTCTACTTTCCTCACTTCTGTTTCTGTTCTCATGCACTGAGCTGAACTGCCAATCAGAGTGATTTCATTCACCAGTGGTGTCCACTGTTGCCGTCATCAATTCAAAATGCTGACAGGGGCCAAAGGTGTGGGACACTGTACACTAACTAGGGTAAAAGACGCTCACCAACAGGCCAACACTGATCAATGGTCGACTTTCAGCTTGTTGTGTTAGGGGAGAGTTTACCCCAAATTCAAAATGAGGAAGCGTACATCAACAGCTTTTACAAGTGGCTGACTTGTGACGGTGCAAAATGTAAATAATAGTGTCCTCCTCAGCTGAGTTATAACATTAGCTAGCTCAGTGGTGCTGGGTGAGCTAGCAGTAGATGAATGTTTCCCTCTATGCTGTGATACAGTCAGTGGGTGTATTTTGATACAAAGAAAATAGAAAATACTTCCTACATGAAACTACTCACAACAAGGTCTGTGGATTACATTGAGTAACCTGGTCATGATTTTTGGAAAGATAAATTGCTGCTCAGTAAACTTATTTATTTATTCATTTATTGCTGCTGTGAGCACCACAGCAATTCAAAGTTGAATGCCATCTAGTTCCATTGATGTTGGAGATATCTACTTCCAGATATGTTCAGCACTCTGCAACTCACACCAGAACAAGGTGGCAGAAAATATTTATATATTTGATTTTGGTTTAACTGGTTTAACCTGCTAAGAACCAAAAATAAATGTAGTCTTTTTGCAGAATATTTTGTATTTTATAGCCTAATTTGATTATAATCAATAATACATGACAATATCTTAGAATTCATCTGTACTACAGAAATGTGCAGCAGCAGCATGAAGTAGAAATATTAAAGTGGAGTATATGTAAATGCACTTCCTTCCTTTTTACCTCTTGCAGCCTATAGGCACTAAAAAGAAGAAAAAAAAATACAAAACCCTGCCAAGCTTCCTAAAGAATTTTGGGTTTTTTTAGGTCTGTTTATGTGTTTATACAGTCGTGACATTAAGCCTTTAACTGGCACAGCAGACATCAGTGCAGAGATTACTATCTCAGTGCATTTAAAAGACTTTATGTGTGACTGTTGAATAAACAAGAACCTATCAACCTACAGACACACACACACACACACACACACACACACACACACATAGTTGAGTTACACCACTTCAGCTGTCAGAGACACATATGAAGAGAGGAGGCATTTATGGTGTGTGTATCAGTAAGAGAGTAGAGAGTGTGTTTGTCGTAAGACATTTCTTACAATTATAATCTATTTTGAATTACCCATGGGACCCATGTTGCCGGTTTCGTGCTTGCATCTCTGCAACTTATTTCTCTCTCACTCAAACACACACACACACACACACACACACACACAAACACACGTTTTAAGCAGCAGAAAAACATACCTCCCAATCACTTTCTGTTATCATCAAATTAAGTACTTGAAACCATAGCGTGACTTCCTGTGAATTCACTTCCCTTCTCTGTTCCTTCTTTGCCAGGTGTCTCCAAAGTATGTTCTCTGCTATTTCAACCATATTTTGTGAGCTGAACAGAGAAACATACAGTAAACAAATAATATGATTAGCTTCATTTTACCAATCTATTAAACTATGCCCATATCAGCCCAGTTATGGGACATCTCTGTGGAGTCAATAAGTTATCTACATTACAGAACTAACAATTTGATGGGAAAGCAAGCGCAATTAGCACTTTGGCACATAATAAGTCACACACCATGCAATATTGCTCCAGTGTTGTAAGATATAATCAAGACAGTCTACAGCCATGCTAGTGGCTCTCTAGAGGAGGTACTTGAGCTAAATTCTCTCATCAGCACGCTAACATGCACACAATGATAATGCTAGCATGCTGATGTTACCAGGTGTAATGTTTACCATGTTCACTGTGTTAGTTTAGTGTGTCAGCATGGTAACATTTGATAAATGGCACTAAACAGAAAATATGGGAAAGGCTGATGGGAGTGTTATAGCTTTGCAGGTCTTTGGTCATAAACTTAAGTACTAGACAAATGTAACTTTTGATGATGACGATAATAATGCTTGTATCAAATTTCACAGCAATCCATCCAATAGTTGTTGAGATACTCTACTAAAGGCAAAAAAAAGTCAAGGCAAAAAAGTCATCCTAATGGTGGCACAAGAGGAAAAGTTAGGGGACCACCAAAGTCAGTAGGATAGACCATCTGGGGATTATGAGTGTCTGTATAAAATTCCATGTCAATCCATCACATAGCTGCTGTGATATTTCAGTGTGGACCAAAGTGGTGTACCAACAGACACTTCGTCCCTGGAGCCTTGTTGTTAGCATTGCTGAAAATATCATCCTGTCTTTGTTGTCTGTTTATGTAACATTTCTCATCTTCCACCAACAAGGTCTTAGTCTCATCATCATGCTCACTTCATTACAATGACTTTTTTAAGTACATTAATAAATACAAGCTTGGAATGGTGATAAAGTGTGAATCTTTTAAAGAAATACTTCAAATACTTAAGTTATAATATGTAGCATGTGAAATAGGGTATG